GGGGTCCTTTCTCGGGGGTAAAGCCGGCCCGGGCGTGATGCTGACCACTCACCCCCATCTAGTGCCGAGGTTAAGAATGAGTAGGAGCTCTCCCTCCAAGTATGACGCCCGTTCGGCGACAGAAACGTTTCTACGAGCGTTCAGAAGCGAAACCAAAGATTGCGGAGTCACCAGCCGAAAGAAAGTCGAGTGCTCGTTCTTTTCGTTGGGGGAACCAACGGCATGAAGAAGGACGACCGAAACGGTACCATTCATTATTTGATTATCGTTTAAACGTAAATGCAGATTAAGTAGGTGAGATTTCGGGTTCTCACGGCGACGGGTTTGAAGATGGATGTCTTCTGGGAAGACGTTTACCGATGTTTCAGAGGTGCTTACTGCCTCCGTCATCAGGTGTTATGTATTTATGGGTATAAACTTAGATTATTTTATTAATCAGTTAATATTTGTAATGATGTAGTGTTGCATTTTCTTTGAGGTATAGACTGAATAAATCAAATATTACTTAGATTAAATTTATGCTTGAAAGGGTTAAAATTAATTTAAATTCATAATAATCTTTGTACAGAAATACTACTCTAGATTCAAAATATCTTCTGACAACAACAAACTTATATTTATAATATGTTATAGGACTGCTTGAAAAAAACTGAACATCGAATCGATACACAATCATAATTCTTGTTAAAATACTTTAATTTCATGGATATAAATTTTAATATTTTTAATAACCAAAATAGCTACTAGATATTTTATTACACATTTTTCTAAATCATTGCGACTTATAGATTAATTAAAATAATACAATGTTATTTACCATAGGTTATACATTTTGGCACACACACACATTATATACATGTACAACACACAAGATGGCTGCCATCTTCAGACTCGTCACAGGTATAACCTCAGATCGTATTTAAAACACACAAGTACGTAATCATTTACACTCCTTGGATCATTTTAATATAATATTAATGTCTGAAATAATGGGACTGTCTGTATATAACATGTAAATCAACAACAGAGTTAGAAGATTCTTGAATGACTTTCAGTGATACTAAAAAGTGAGGTTAGGTTATACGATGGCAATGTTCCTTTCTCATCTTGACTTCATTTTCATAGTTATTTTAATTAATATGGAAGTGTAAAATAAGTGTTTTTATTTTTGTAACGTAGTAGATTCAAATCTGAGGATACAGTGTGTCAGAATATGTCTCCAGGTATAATTGTCCACCCTGAGAATTTGTGGCTGGACATAATTTTCGGCTCAGGTTTGCAAAGTGGGGAACTTCACCGATAAAAATGGTTTCTAGCATATGATCATCATAGGTACATGATATAATGGTGATTGTAGTTCAATTCTGGAAGTAGCAGGGATTAATTTATATTGTTCCATGAGTCACTATTTTGTTTTTGTAGCACTGAATCGTGGTAAACAGTTCCATTTCCAAATGAGTCTACACGAGGCATTAGAACAATTAACGGGAGAAGTTGATGAAGTTGGAACATTGTCTAAATGGATCCACAATGTGTCTAAACACATAAATGTCACACTTCAAAATTCCACATGGAAGTGGTATCCTAAGATACAACATCCACTTTGTTCTGATGGATGAAGGAGATTACGAGCCAATCACACTCACACGATTCCTGTCATGAAGTTACGAGCTATTCGCTGAATTGCTTCCTGTGTAATGGGACACTTGGAGTAGATGACGCTGCAGTCTTTATCTCTTCTACCATAACGAATAGCCTCTTGAAGTGCCGTTCCTCGCACAAGTCTCTCTAACAGCGTGTTACTGAAACATTTTATGCGGCAAATATCACTGAAATTTTGTGAAAAATGTTATTTTCTTCGTCAGAATTGAAATCGTCGTATTATCGTAATAGAAGGTACTTCGAGGGTTGTTGATGTTAAACTTATTCTTTTGTATTAAGGGAAGACTGAGCTTGTGGAGAGCAACATTTTAACCTGAGAGGGACAAAAGTAAGCGACTTTAAGAAATACCTGAGATTAGATGAGAGAATGTGGAATTAACTTAATTGCCAAAGGATGCGGTCCATTGGGAACACGTTAATTAACTCTTACGTCGCATGAAATGCAAGGAACTTCGTGACTAGTAGCTCCTCGAGAGGGACTCTTTTCATGGGAGCGCATTTGCGTGTGTAACGTAGGAGCACTCTTGTTTCAAGCTGCTATTTACGTTAGTGTTTTAAGACTAAATACTTTCTGGTAGTTCATGAGATGATAATGTTGCTTCATATTGTGATGATTATAATTGTTTAATTTTAACCGTCTAATCACAATAAAATAGTTTATTAAATATTAAAATATTATTACTACAATTAACATTTAATATTTAAAATATATTAAAATGATGCTCTTTCTATCGAAAATGTTCGATTTACAATTAGAGCATCATCTTTTTCACGACATGTTTCGGTTTTCAATGAACCATCTTCAGGTGTATAATCGATATAAATTCTGATAGTTCTTTCTGTTCTGACATAATTTTGAATTAATTATTAATGATCAATTAAAATCTTTGCTGTATGGTGATACTGCAAAGGTAAGTCACTGTTTATGCTGTTCATTTGCAAACGTAATTGAAATTGAGATACAGATACATTTTTATTCCTCAACTAAATTTTGTGTGCAAATATTTCAGGTATTGTTAGGCGGAAAAAGTAAATATATATATATATATATATATATATATATATATATATATAAACACTTGAGTCTGATAAATAATGCTGACTTACCTAGCTATTCCGTCAATTATCTTATCCAAACTTCCGCCTTCTCCCGTTGTCACCTTGGCCGCGGCTGATCTTACAATCCAACACACTGCCCTTTGAGTACAGACAGACACGTCGATATTGTGGTCCATGAGTGCTTTGTCCATACGTGACAGGAACCCAGACTTTCGTTTCTCACCGCCGCTGTTGCCTTTGTAAAAGCGAGAGCTACATTACAATCGGGAAAGCAATATCCAAAATATTTACTATCGTAACCACATAGAAACACACGATAAACACGAGTTCCAGCTGAATGACTGTCACTTTGCTTCATATTCAAGGGGTTCTGGGTTCAGATCTTGGTCTGCAGACCAGATATCATGAGTGAGGATTTTCTCAGTTTCTCTATAAAAATGCAGTGAATGATGTTGTGGCCGCTATTTTTACCATATTCATTAATTGTACTGTCATTTATGCTATATAGTCTGAGCTGCTTACATCGTCATTAAATAAACAATAAATTCATCGTAATTATGGTACAGTTGGACAACCTAATTCTTTTCACATTCAGACACGCTGTTTCATGGTGAGTGATGCAGTTTAATAAGAATTCTTCTTACGAAACCAGTTCGGCGCAATTAAGTTGTTCAGGACCATTCAGGCATAGTTTGGTAGAGAAGTGTTGAAACTATTAAAACGCCTCTGCAAAGTAATTATGTATAATTAGGAATAAAGTGATAAGTAGAATGTCAGTCACTGTCATGATTTTATTTTTCAACGAGAGGAATTCTTTTGTTCTGCAATGGTCGAAGCACAATTTCAGATTGTCAATAAATCAGTAATGTATGAATATCATTATGCGTCATCCACTGTTATGAAAAGGATTGTAAAATCAGAAGCTGGCAAGCCAATGACATCTCCAGGTCGTACAGTACCAGAGACATCTTAGGGGTGGTACCGGGGTACATGCAGCAACAGATGCGTGCGGAATAAGAAATTAGATCCAATTTGTGGGTGGGAAATGCGCGTATGCAACAGAGAGAACCGAGATGTATCTTACCGTGCTCAGAGAGTCTCGGTGTGCGTACTCCGTGGCTGTAGTGAATCTGCAGTGATTTAACTTACTTTTTCCAAATGATATTTCAGGTTCGAGACCGGAGAATGCTTTGGGGATGAAGATCAGCGCCGCGGTTGTCAGTATCGTTCCGGCCGTTATCGCTCCGACGTTCACGTTGACGAGCGGTTTGTCGTCGTCATCTTTGACCCCTCTGATTGGAATTGTGATAAATGGTATGGAGAACCCCAGTTCAACCTAAGACGTACATAAATTCTCAACTCATAACTTATATAAATTAATATTAAGGAAAACTTTTGTAAGTTTGACGAACTCGCATGGGGGTCAGTCTTGTAATCTCAAATATCTAAGAAACCAGAGATTATTCTTTTTTTTTCAAGATAAATTATCTTTTGATTTAGGAGACCCAAATGTTGTTAATTACAAGTGAGTACGAAGTTATATATATTTTCACAAACCCAGTTTACAATTTGACTTCTCCTTGTTTTGAACATACGCTACAGCGATATAATGATTATGCCTTGTGTTTATAAAATTCCATACTATTTTAAATTACTTTTAAATTCAATTCCTTAACTTCAATATTTTATTTACTTATTTTATAAGTAGACAATAGAATATTACTTTACCGACTGAGGAAAAAATGAAATTGTTAATTAATAATTATTTCATTATACTTACGCTGAT